CTATGGCCCTACTGTCTTTGAATTCTCCCGCCTGGACCTTCCAGGAAGGTTCCTGTTTCACTCCTGGAAACAGGAGTGCCATATTGTGGGAGCGGTCAGGACAGTGACAGGCAGCTGGGAGGGATGGACAGAGGGTGTGGGGTAGTTATGGTTCATGAAGCCCCTCCATCCTCACCAGTCTGGAGGATCCCAAAGAACCCATGGCCACCTAGGGGTGTCTTCAGCAGGCCCCTTCTCTATCATCTTCCTTAGACTCTCCAGGCCCAATAAACAGTAGTGCCATGGAAACTGGGGCAAACAGGCATCCCTAGGAACCCCCCTCCCCAAGTTCTTAGAAACCATTATGTCCCAATTTTTCTCTGTCACTTCCCAGTGGCTCCTTTTGAACACTGTGGCTTTTCTACCTCCACTCTGTGGAGCTAGCCAGGAGTTGGGGAGGTGGTAGGAATTTAGGTTGACCCTGGTGGTAGAGCCAGAAGAAACAATAGTGAAAGAAGTTCCAGAGGGCACCCATTTGATCATGCTGCCCTCTGGCCCTGCAAACCTAGGGTAAAGGAATAGGCTGAGGGTGGAGTAGGTGGTTGAAAATCAGGGTGACTAGGAAGGCCTCATCCCTTTTGTATATTTTGTATTGCCCGATGCTTGTCAACCTATTCTGAAACTGTAGATGGGAGGAAACACATGCTCTTACTCATCACAGTGGAGTCAAGGGTGGAATTCGTGTGGCGAATGGGCTACTTTGAGTAAGCCAACCTGGTACATCTACATGAAGCAAGTCCAGGACTAGGCATTTTATAATGGTCTCAGAGACCCCAGAAAAGGGTTGGTTCTTACAGAGAAGAGGACAATAGCCAGGTAAGCCAGGATCTAGTAAAATGTAAAAACTCACCTGCCACCTGCCTCACTAGAAAACAAATAGTTCTGGAAAACTGGGTTCATATTTGGCCCAGACAAATATGACAGACTTTCTGACTGGGGTCAGATGGAATGTCAGTGTAGTTTTTTTTTTTTAAGTAGGATGTCATTGAAAAGGGATAGAATGGCAGGCAGCTATGCAAAAGAGCATAGTGCCTCAATGTAGTTTTGATTTGCACTTCTGTAATGGATAAAGATGGGGAATATTTTTTCATGTGTTTATTAGATATTTGTACTTCTTCATTTGAAAAGTGTCTGTTCAGTTCATTTGCCCATTTATTGATTGGATTATCTGCTCTTTGGGTGTTAAATGTTTTGAGTTCTTTATATATGTAGAATATTAATCCCTTTGTTAGAGGGATACCTGGTAAAGATTTTCTCCCATTCTGTAGGCTGTTTCTTCACTCTGTTGACTATTTGTCTGTTCAGAAGCTTTTTAATTTGATGCAATCCCATTTGTCAGTTTTTGCTATTATTTCCTGGGCTACTGGAGTCCTACTCATAGGTCATTGCTGATACCCAGTTCTTGAAGTGTTTTCCCTGTGTTTTTCTCTTGTAGTTTCAAAGTTTCAAGTCTTATGTTAAGGTAGACCAACGGTTTACAATGGAAGACTTGGAAATAACCCAGGCAGCTACAGTGAACTGATTCTTTTTTTCCAACTCTTTCTTTTTTCATTTTTTATTGTGTGACATTTATTTAGCATACTAAATATGGCATTCTTGAATTCACCCCCTCCACTACTCTCCTTTATCCCCTCCTCCCCACATTTCTGGAATACTTTCAACAGGTATAATTTTTGCATTTGCATACAGGTGTACACAATATTTGCACTGTATTCATCCTCCTGCCCCTTTTCCCCATCACCTCCCCAGTTGACAAAATTGTCAAAAATATACATTAGCAAAACAACAGTCATCTTTAACAAGTGGTGCTGGTAAACCTGGATTCCACATGTAGATGACTGAAATTGGGTTCCTGTCTCTCAACCTTTACAAAAATCAACTCAAAATGGATGGAAGGAAATCCCCCCTCACCCCCACATACTCTTTGGTTAGACTATGGCTTGAACTCAGGGCTTCATGCTTGCAAAGCAGGTTCTCTACCATTTAGCCACACTGCCAGTCCATTTTGCTCTGGTTATTTTGAGATGAGCATCTCTCAAACTATTTTCCTGGACTGGCCTCAAACCAGATCCTCCCAATCTCAGCCTCCCAAGTAGCTAGGATTTCAGGGGTGAGCCATGGGCTTCTGACTTGGAAGGAGTTTTTAATGAATATTTCTAAGGATTGTAGAGACAATATATCATAATTATTTTCTCTCTCTCTCTCTCTCTGTTTTGCAGTACTAGGGTTTGAACTCAGGGCCTACACCTTGAGCCACTCCACCAGCCCTTTTTTGTGATTTTTTTTCTGAGATAGGGTCTCCCAGAACTATTTCTCCAGGCTGGCTTTGAACTGCAATCCTCCTGAACTCTGCCTCCAAGTAGTTAGGATTACAGGTGTGAGGCTGTAATTAACTGGCACCTGGCATCATAATTATTTTCTGTTTATAAAGTTATGCAATTCTGTTTTCCTGATAGCTTGCCTTTCAATTTTACTAGATTTATATATAAGATGTAATTAGTGGCAATAGCTACAATTTTCATTTTCTTCCAAGTTTTATGCAGTGATTTATCTTTTTAAAATGTTTTGATTATGACTTCCATCGAATAACATTTAATATTGGGTTTAATTGAAAATAAATGACCACAGTTTTCTTACAAAGTGTGCTGTTGTATTTTTGTAGATAGCTGAGTTAATGTGTATATAAACACTATAACAGTGCTGAACTATGGTAAGGGGGATTTATTGATTAAATAAATGTTATGTTAAGAAGTTTTGCTTTCACTTCTGTCTGCTGAGGTCTTAAAAAAGTCACGGACAGTAGTTGAATTTTAGAGGTCTTTTGAGATAAATGTTGTCTGTCTTCCTGGAATATATGAGCTGAATTTTTTTTTTGAGACAGTGTCTTACCATGTAGCCCAGGCTGGTCTCCACCTCTAAATCCTCCTATCTAAGCCTCCCAAGTGCCAGAATTACAGGTGTGCACCACTGCACCCAGCTTGTAGGCAAATTCTGGGGTACCTACCCATCCTGCATTCTTTGTGTGTGTGTGTGTGTGTGCGCCGGTACTGGGGTTTGAACTCAGGCCCTCACACTAGCAGGCACTCTACCACTTGAGTCATTCCACCAGCCCCCATCCTGCATTTCTGGTATGATAGTATTTATTCATTTTGTGATATGTTGTTCATTATTAGATATGATTTTTGATTAACTGATAAGTCAATATTACTTTTTATTTTCTCTATCTCTGATAATATCACATTTATATTAGTAACATAAGGTGAAATGTACAGCTTTTCTTCCCTTTCTCATTTTAGAATATTTTGTGTAAGATAGAAGTCATCTGTTTGGCAAATTCATCTTTAAAAATTCCTGGATCAGCTGGGTGCCTGTGGCTCACACCTGTAATCCTAGGTACTCAGGAGGCAGAGATCAGGAGGACTGCAGTTCAAAGCCAGCCCTGGGCAAATAGTTTGTGAGACCCTATCTCAAAAAAACCCAACACAAAAAAGGGCTGGTGGTGTGGCTCAAGGTGTATGCCCTGCGTTCAAAACCCAGTACCACACACACCACACACACACACAAATTCCTGGGTCTATTGATTACACCACGGGGTAGATAAATTCCCAGAGGTACAGAAAGACAAAGTCCCATTTCCAAGTTGTAGAGGACAAAGCAAGGCTTATACTCCAGGCCCTTGACATAAGCTCTATCCCCACACACTCCACTGCAATGAATGAGTGAATAAACATATAGGTGCTCTGTGTTAGAGGTCACCATGTTTCAATGCCAGTGGTTTGTTGTCTTGTTCTGTTTTGTTTTTTTGGCACTAGGGATCAAATTTAGGTCATTGAGCTTGCTAGGTAAGCATTCTTGCACTCGACCTACACATCCCAAGTCCTTTCATTCTTTTCAGTTTGTTTTTAAGATAGGGTATCACTCTAAATTTCCCCAGGCTGGCATCAAACAGCAAGTCTCCTATCTCTACCTCCTGAGTAGTTGGGCATATAGGCATATGCCACCACTTCTTACACTGGTTTTTAATAAACAAAACAAATGAAAATATTTCCATATGGAAATAATTTGAAATTTATAGAAAAGTTGCCATAATTGCATGCCTTGTAACTAACTCCCTTTGCTCAGATTCACCAGAGTGATTTGCTCTGTTTGCTTTATGATTCTTTTCCTTGAATCATTTTGGAGAATAAGCTGTATACGTCACACTCCTTTCCCACAAGGACCTGAACACTTTCACATATATTTCCTTTAGACAAGGACCTTCTTTTTCCAATGGCACAGTACAATTACCAAGTTCAACATAGATACAGTAGTAGTAATCAATCAAACCAATTTTACCAATGATGTCCTCAGTAGCAATTATTCTCCTAGTAAAAGATCCAATCCAAGATCTTCTACTAGGGAGAAGGCTAGGATGATTTATGGAGTGATGGAGTAGAGTGACGATATCAGTGTGACCCCATGTTTATATTAATATAAATAAAGATAATCCATATGTATAAGTCATGTTGATACAGGTGGAGTACCCATTATCTGAAATTCTTGGGATCATAAGTGTTTCAGCTTTGAGTATGTTTAAGATGATGGAATGTTTCAAAATTCGTAATCAGATATACTTTGGATGAAACCCAAGTATAAACATGAAATTTATTTCATATACCTATGCACATTACTGAGTGGTGATTTTATACACTATTTTAAATAACTTTATTCATGTCAGTGCTCAAATTTTTTTTGAATTTTGGAGCATGCTGGATTTCAGATTTTTGGGTTAGGGATACACAAGCTGCATGTACTCTTGAGATGAAATGATGAAAATGACATTTTGCCTCTGTAATCTTCTTTCCAAAAGCCATTAATATCATAATGACCATGACAAAAAATCAGACACATTCCAACTAAGTGATATTCTAAAACTTAATTAACTCCTCCAGTCTATTTACCATAACTATTAACTCCTCCAGTGTATTAAGTATAAAGGAAGTCTGAGAAATCAACAAAGTCAAGAGGAGCCTAAGGATATGTGATGATTGAATGCAATGCAGAATGCTGGAGGGGTCCTGGAACAGAAAAATAACAGCAGAGGAAAAGTAAGGAAATCAATTGTGAAGGTGTACCTACTATCTTCACAACTTTTCTGTAACTCCAAAACTATTTAAAAATTTGTTTTGGTAAGGTGATCCACATTTATTTTGGACTTACTCCGTCCCATCTTTGGGATGAATAATTTGCTCCATGAAGCTCTAGTTCCTTTTAGTGGATGATGGTATTTTGAAGTCAACATCTGAGTGCTCTGTGTTTCGTTGTTTGTGATTGTCATTGTTTTAGGCCTTCTGAGCAAAGAGAGCTATGAGATTACCTCGTCTCACCCACAGGTAAGAGGAGAACCACTACCTCAACCAAGAGAAGGTGGGGCAAATTGGAGACTCTGTTCAGGCAGCCAAATGAGGAAGAGGAAAAAATTAAATTATTTTGAAACAGTAACAGTAATAACAGTTGCCACCTTTTGAGCAAGCAGTATGTGCCAGGTATGCTGCTACTATTTTTCAATTTTTCTTCTTTCTTTTACTTAAATTTTATTTCTATTTGGATAAATTCCTATTCAGATTATTTTCCCAGTTTTAGTTACTTGACTTTTAATTATTATAAGAGTGATTTTCCTGTATTCTAAATACAAATCCTTTATCATCTATATGATTTGAAAATATTTTCTCCCAATTTGAAGACTGTCTTTTCACTTTCTCAATAGTATCCTTTGAGACTCAAATGGTGTTTTGGTTTGGTTCGGTTGAGACAGGTTCTCTCTATGCATCCCAAGCTGGCCTCAAACTCAAGATTCACCTGCCTCAACTTCCCCAATGCTGGCATGACAGGTATGCACCACCACATCTGGCACTCAAATTCTTTTTATCACATCCTGTTTATCTTTTTTTTTGTGTGTTGTTCATGCTTTCGCTGTTATGATTAAGAATTAATTGTCAAATTCTAGGTCATGAAGAGCAACCCCTATTCGTTCTTCTGAAGGTGTTTTTTTTTTTTTTTTTTTGTTCTTGAATTTATGTCTTTGTTCTTTTTGGCTGATGATGTGAGACAGGGGTCCAACTTCATTCTTTTACATGTGGATGTCAAGTGGTCTCAGCACCATTGTTGAAAAGACAACTGTCTTCCAATGGAATCATTTTGGCACCTTATTGAAGGTCCATTTATTCAATGATAAAGAAAAGCTGAAGAAATTAATGACTAATAAGCCAGCATGGCAGAAGGTACTTAAAGAAATCCTTCACACAGATGAGAAAGATAAATGCAAACAGGAAAATATGGGAAAGAGTAAATTTCACTAGAAAAGTCTATTTTTTAAGTGAGGATTAGAAAAGAAACAAAAATTACAAAAAAAACCAAAATGAAAGGACCTTTCAATTATAATTCTGAATGTTAATAGTCTCAATTATCCAACCAAAGATCCAAACTGGCAGATTGGATTAAAAAACAAGACTCAACCTTTTGTTCACTACAGGAAATGTGCATCACTGAAAAAGACAAACGCAGACTTAAAGTGAAATGACAGGAAAAGACATTCCAAGCAAACGGAACCCCAAAGCAAGCAGGAGTAGCTGTACTCATATTGACAGACTTCAACACAAAATTAGTCACAAAAGACAAAGCAGGTCACTGCACATTGATAAAGGCAACAATGACTCACATGGAGTTAACAACTGTAAACTTACATGGGCCAAGCAATTTCATAAACCTAACACTATTGAAGAACCCCAAGACAATAACAGTGGGTGACTTCAATACTCTACTTTCTAAAATAGATAATCATCCAGACCAAAAAAACAAAACAAAACAAAAAACAATAAGGAAACATCAAAATTAAATAACACTATAGATCAAATGGATGTAACAGACATCTACAAAATATTGCACCCAGCAGCTACAGAATACACATTATTCTTAGCAGCCCATGGAACTTTCTCAAAAATGCATCACACTTTAGGACATAAAGCAAGTCTTAAATATAAGGACATGGAAATAACCTCCTGTATTTCACCAGAATACAATGGAACAACTAGAAGTCAACACCAAAGAAACCACAGGAAACATTCAAACACATGGAGATGATAACACACTGCTGAATGACCAGTAGATCATTTGATGAAATTAGGGGAGAAATCTTAGAATTTAAAAGGGTTAGAATTAAATGGAAATGAAAACACAACTTATCAGAGCCTTTGGGACACAACAAAGACAGTGTGAATAGAAAAGGTTATCACTAGGAGTACCTACATTTAAAAAAATCAGATTGATCACAAATAAACAGCTTAGTGACACAACTCAAGCTCATAGAAAAGTGAGAACAAATCAAACTCAAAATTAGTAGGTGGGAAAAAATAAGATCAGGACAGAAATGACTGAAATGAAGATTAATGTTGTCTATTTTTGTCCTGAGTTCATTTATCTGTTTATTAATCATGTTCTCTGTTTCACTTTGGTGTTTATACAGTGCTTCTATGGTTTCCTTTATTTCTTCTTTTGCTTTTTCAAATTCTCTATTTTTGTTGTCTTGGAATTTCTTGAGTGTCTCCTGTACATTTTGGTTGACCATATCCAGTATCATCTCTATAAAATTCTCATTGAGTACCTGTAGTATGTCTTCTTTTGAATTATTCTTGTGGGCCTCATTGGGTTCTTTGGGCTAGTTTATCTTCATTTTGTTGGAGTCTGGATCTGAGTATCTGTTTTCTTCATTCCCCTCTGGTTCCTGTACTAATTATTTTGCTGTGGGGAAACTGGTTTCCCTGTTTTTTTCTGTCTTCCCATCATTGTCCTTGGTGTTGTTACTGTCCCTGTACTGTGTGCAATTAAGTATTTTCTAGCTTGTAATAATGACAATGGTAATATTTAGAATGGAAGGGTGAGAGGAGATGGAAAGCAAGAAGTTAAAGAAAAGGGAGAAACAAATAAACAGACAAGTAGGAAAAAACAAAACAAGGAATCAAACAAAAAAGTTTCAAAGATATAAACAGGGAGTGTTAGTGTACTAATCGACAGTAAGCTGAACAGACATTAGACAGAGAGAGGATTGAAAATCAAAGATAAAAAAATAAAAAATAAGTAAATGAAAGTAATATCTTATTATAAAAATGAATTTAAATAAAATGAAAATAGAAAATTAAAAAAAAAACCCAAAAAACTTCCAAGTTTATATGCAATGGCAGTTCAGTCTTAATAATTTGGGTGTCCGTCTCAATCTCCAGTCCTGGAGTTCATGCCTCAGATGTTGTTCTTAGTTGTCTCATCAAAAGGGATGCATAAAGTAGAACAAACTACACACCTCACACACACACACACACACACACACACAACACAACACACACACACACACACACAAAGCCCCACCAAGTGTCCCCAGTTCAAATGCAATACAGTTTCAGTAAGTTTTTTCGGCTTGCAGGTGTAATGTTCGGTTGTTATCTCTCATCAAAGGTAGGGAGGAGAAAAGGAAAAAAGTGTCTGGAGACAGTTCTGAGAGTGGTATCTGCAAACTGTGGGCTTGCCTGCCCGCTGCTCTCAGCCTGTAAGCTGGTGTGGCGTTATTTTATGCAGATCTCTGGGGTGAGCTTAGCACTCACCTGGTCCCACAGGCTTTGTTTGCTCAGAGTTTCTCTCCTGTGCGGGAGCCTCTGCTACAGGCTTTCCCCTTTCCAAGCACTGGGAAAGGTGACACTGCCCCCACATTGTCAGGCTCTGAGTGTTTTATTTTTACAGTTCATGTGGGAGGTGGGTCTTCCCCCCTCTCCTCTGAAAGTTTTTCCTCCCACTGCCACTTTCAGAAGCTTCTTTCCCTGCTCTCTGCTTACTGTGGTGGTGCTGCTGCTCCTGCCAGCAGCCATGTTTGGTTTACAGTTCACGTGGGAAGTGGGTCTTCCCTCCTCTCACAAGCTTCCCCGCTCCTGGTTGCTGGGTGCGCACCCCGCTCCTGCCAGAGCCTCTCTGGCCCGCCTGGCTTGTTTATTTACAGTCCCAGGAAGGATTCCCTTCCCCAATCTTCAGCGCTCAGTGCGCCCACCCTCTTTCCAGCGTTTCTTTAACTGTTCTTATTGCTTATTACTCAGTTTCTCTTTTTCCCTGGGGGATGTGGTTCAGTCTGTCCAGGGGGCTATGCTGCTCTTGGCCCAGGCTTGTCTGTGGGTAATTGTGATGATGTACTCGATACCGCGAAGCTCACCTGTGATTCTGTCTTTCCAAAGCCATATAGGCGCTGGCCACTGGTAGGAGGGGCCCTCTCTCGTTTCTCCGTTTTAATGTGAAGTGGAGATTCTCTGCACCGGCTGGAGATGTGGAGGGGTCAAAGTTATGCCTTTTCTCGGTGATCTATGCCTGCAGTGTGGTCTCCAGCAGTCTCTCCAAGATTTCACTATAGGAGGGTCGCTTTCTGCTTCCTACCTCTTAGCCGCCATCTTGGAATCCTCGGTTGGGTTTCTTGAAACCCTGTGGGAGACGTGTCCAGGTTTTTTATAAACTTTCTTGTTGTCTCCCCCTGACTGGGGCGGTTCCTCCCATTTGGGTGGGGTTGTTGGGTTGGCTCCACATAGTTGGTGCCAACTGGATTGCAGTAAGAATGCATCTTTTAAGGTGTCCAAGTCAATAAGAAGCATAGGTTGCCTCTTAGCTGGTTATACAGTAGGCCACAAAACAGGTGTATGGTAAATTTGGAGACCACAAGGTTGCAGAGTCACTGTCTGCTTTTTGATATTGACTGCCCGGGAGATTCTTTCAGCTGGTGGCTTGGTAATCAATTAGGGCCCGGGCTTTTCTGAACTGGCAAGCAAAGGATGGTTCCAGGCAGTAAGTTGGACAATGGTCTCAGGATTCCATTAGTTTTAAAATTTCTCTGGAGTATTATGGAGATATCGCCTTCTTTTCGTGCCCTCATTGGGATGTGGTATTTGTCTCACACTTTATTGGATGTGACTCCTGGCTTTTCTCTCTATTACCATGAGGTAATGTTGTGGTTAGCCCTAGAGGAATTGCTTTCAAGCCAATACTCCCAGAAACTCAAAGGCATCTCTGGCCCCTTAATGGCAGTCTCTTATCTGAATTATAATTTCTCCACTCTTCTTCCTGTGGGTAAGTGGTGAAGGGGCATAGGACTATAGGGTGCCACTGAGCCAAAGTTCAAAGTCCGCTTTGTCCCTCCCTTTTTTTCCTGTTGAAAACTGATCTGGGCCTGCTGCTTGACTTTAGGCAGAATCTCAGCCCATCCACGGCCACTGGACATTCTGGTAGTATAGAGAAGAAACTTTCACGTAGCTTGCTTACAGAATCTCAGCCCATCAGTGCCACTGGACATTCTGGTAATAGAGAAACTCACGATCACAAAATGTTCCTCCAGAATACATTTTTGGGCTGGAAAGGGAGGTGGGCTTGGATCCCTGTGGTCCCCACAATTGTCCAGTGTCTTTGTGAAATTGGTGCCACCCGTCAGGTCACCATGGAATGCTCAGCACCAGTGTCCACCATGAAATCTACAGGTTGACCCCCTACTGACATATGGACCATGGACTCTTGGGGGACAAGGAGGAAAGAGCCCAATAGGCCCTAATCTTCAGCTTGTTCAATGCTTGCAAGCCCCACAAAGTCCTGTTTCTCTTTTGTCACTCTGCATCTGGCCTGGAGCTGTGGGCACTCATTTTTCCAGTGTCCTTCTTGGCAACAGAAGGTACATTGATTTTTCTTTAGGGGCTCTGATCCCTGAGGCCGTACTTGTGGGGAGTTTCCTAGGGGCCCCCCTTTGCCTCTTCTTCAGCCTCTGCCCTGAGTGAAACTGTGCCCTCCCTGTCTGTTTATTTCTGCTGCTAGGAGATCTACTTTCTTTTTCATCTTTCGTTCTGCCTCCTTTTGAACTTCCTTGTCTGGGTTAACAAACACCTTGGTTGCCACTTTTAGAAGCTGGAATGCGTTCATGCCTTCAAAGTCTTCTAATTTTTGTTACTTTCTTCTAATGTCCCCCAGGTTTTCCCATAAAGGCAGCATTGATCTTGCACTGATTTTCAGGAGCCTCAGTATTGAAGGGAGAATATAGACGGTATGCTTCACATAGTCTCTCATAGAACTGTGCTGGGCTCTCCTCAGACTTCTGTAAGAGCCCTGTGACTTTGTCCATGTTCATGGCCTTCCTTCCCCCTTCTTTTAGACCTGCCATCTGAGCCCCTCTTAGCTCTCTCAGAGCCTCTTTATATCTATGTAAATTGTCTTGGCTTTTTGCTTCATTTGGGTCCCATGTAGGTTTGGCTTCTAAAAAGGCTGTCTGGGCATAGGCTCACACATCATTTGTCCCATTGGGGGCATGAGCTTCAAGCCAATGAAGGGCTGCCTGGACAACTCATCTCCATTCCTCCATGCTGAGGAGTGTTTGGAGAAATTGCCTACACTCCTGCCAGGATGGATTTTGAATTTGGATAATGCTGAACCAAGTTGACCATGGCCTGTGTCTTCTCAGTGTACAAGGGGGTATGATTTTTCCAATTGAGGAGGTCTGTGGTGGTGAAGGGTTGATAAATGAACAAGGGTCCACCCCCTTGCAGTTCACCATTTTGATTATACCACATGGGCCCCCTGGTCTCCCTGAGAGGCATCTGGAATGCTACCTGTGCCATTGAATGGGATTTTGGGTGAGCTCCTGACTGTGCAGGAGGGCTGGTTGAAACTCCTGATGAGGGAGGAGAAGGGAGGTCTCCTGAGTCCTCAGGTTCTGGGTCTGTTGTGGGATCTGCCAGAGACAAGGGCAGCCAAGGCATGGGAGGATAATCTGAGGCATACAGTGGTGGGTACAGGTCAGGATCAGCCTGTTGCACTGGGAGAGGAACCTTTTCTCTCTTTTCCTTTCTTTTAAGAGTCCCATATTTGTAGTCCTTGCCATCATAATCTTGCAACTGTCTTCAAAGCATTTCTTAAGCCAAGGAGGGGGATGAGCTGTCAATGTCTGCCCTATGTCAATGTAGGGGAAGTGGTCAGGATGGCCTGGTGTTCCTGTCACTACCTGATAGACCCTATGTATGGTTTCTCACTCCAGAAATCCCTTGGAAGGCCATCCAACCTTAAAGGACACCCAATCTATTTCACAGACTCTCCAAAGTTTCTGGGGTGTGAGTTCCACACCATAATCACCTGAGTATCCTTTCTTGAAATTGTCAAGCATACATTGCAAAGGAGTCATTTTACTTTGGTTCCCACCCATATAGTTCCCACCCACAAGGAACAAGAGGATCAGGGAGTTTGGAAATGAGGTATGGCGTCCTCAGTTTCTGACACAAAGGGAAGACAAACAACTTTCGCTTTGTCCATGCCTAGGTTCTCTCTTTGTGGAGATATATGAGACATCTCATAGCTGTAGTGAGCCCGTATAAACCCCTGCCCAGTGCCCCAAGTGTGTGTGGGGGGTCACCCTAGACTATATGAGAACACCTCTGGCTTCTGGAAATGGACTCCACACACCATGTGGTGACCAAAGTCACACTCCTTTCATGCTCTCAGTTGCATATCACACATTCATCCAACTCAACAAACCTAGTCTGCAATGTATCCCAGCTTCTTCTTGAATAATCACAGAAACCAAACAACCAGATTCAGGAGTACTAGTGGAAACCTTAGGGGTTGATCATGCCCCTCTTCTATCCTCTCATGGATGGGACTACTCTTATGGACCCAGGTCCTATCTGTTCCAGACGGGTGCCGCTCCAAATTTTCCTGGTTCATGGGGTCTCCACCCAGGTTCTGTTGGCATGTACAGACCTGAGGCTTCAGTATCTGTGGGAGGCTTCTCTCCCTGTCTGGACTAAGTGTCCAGTGGCGCCTTGGCTGGGTTACACCCCCAGGAGTTGGACCACAGTCTGACAGCCAGGGAGGCAAAAATGCCAACTTTGGTCACCCAATGCACCAGAAATATTGTGGTCACAGATACAGGAAACCTTGCAGAGCCTAGCTTGAGGTCTGTGACACTTTTGAGTTTGCAGAAAGCTGCTTGTGGCCCCAGAGTAGGAAATCCAAGGCATGTTCCAGACACATAGTAAATCCCAAAAAAAATAGCCACATTGTCTCCAACAGTCCAAGTGAGCAGGCTGCCTCCTGATCAAGAGAGAAAATGTCCAGTCTTTCACAATTAAATGTGATGTTAGCCAGGGGCATTTTAGTATCTTTTATTAGGATGAGGAAGCTCCCTTCTAATCCAGTTTTCTGTGAGTTTTGATCATGGAAGGGTTTTTGTATATTGCCAAATGCTTTTTTTTGGTATGTATTGAGATATTAATGTATTTGTGGATTTATGGTTTTATTATACTGTTATCTATGGGTTTTAATGGATTCCTTAGGATTTTGTAAATATGAAACCATATTACTTTAAGTAGAGATAATTTTTACTGCTTCATTTCTAAATATTTCTAACTGCATTATATTTCATTTTAGCCATTCAAGGGTGGCTTACTCTTGTGTTCCTGGAGTAAATCTCACATGGTGTGTATATAACCCTTTTTTATATGTTTTGCATTTAGTTTTGCTATCATTTTATTAGGATTTCTGTGTCTGTACTCATGAAAGAATTTCAGCCTGTATTTTTCTGTTTACATTTCAATATGCAGGTAAGACTTGACTGCATAGAATGAACTGAAGTGTCATCCTCTTTTCTACTTTTTGAAGAGTTTTTGAAGAATTGATATTCTCTTTAAATGCTTGGTGAAATTCAAAGTGAAGAGATGGAAGATAGCCCCTGGGAAGCAGAAATCTTTGCATTATATTGACTTTCACTGAGATGTTTTCATGGAGCTAAACTCAACTGGAGCTAAGCTGGACCCAAGCATAACGGCGGTTTCTTCTATAATGCTTGATAACTACCTTATTTTAGATTTAAATGTGTTAATTCATGTTTTATTTTCATTGGAAGGTAGTAATTCCATATATGGGGCATGATGGGATGTATGTACTTTATGGAATGATTAACATTTCCAACTCACATACTCATCATTTCTCTGTGATATGAGAAACATTTAAAATCTACTCTTAGCACTGAAGTATACAGATGTTATTATTATAAACACTAGTCACCATGCCGTGCAACACATCACTAGAACTTATTCCTCCTGTTTAACTGTTTAACTTAAACTTTGTACCCTCTGGTCAACAGCTCCCTTTCCACCCCACCCTGTCCACTTAGAGAAGTCAAACTTCAATACAATTTGACATTTTTAGACTCTTAGATGTAACTGAGATAATGTATTACTTATTCATTCTACATATCTGCCACTTCATACTGACCTACACCTTCCCCTTTCCTCCTCCATCATACTACACCTGGTAACTTTTGTTTTGTTTTCTACCAGTGTATATTAGGTTTTTCAAAATTCCATGTATAAGTGACATTGTGCAATGCTTTTCTTTCTATGACTGAGTAGTTTCACTTACCATGATGTCCTCTAAGCTTATCCCTGTTGAGACAAAAAAAATGTCAAAATCTCATTCTTCACTAGGGTGGATAAAATTCCATTGTGTATATGCATTAAAAGATTTTTATCCATTTATCCATTGATGGATACTTAGGTTGTTTCCATATCTTGGCTACTGTGAATAAAGCTGCAATGACCATGATAGAGCAAAGCATCTTTACAAGGTGATTATTTCTTGATTGGTTAGATATACACCCAGAAGAGGGAGTGCTGGGTCACAAGATAGTTCCAGTGTTAAAGTCTTTAGAATCCTCATACTGTTTTCCACTATGGCTGTGCTCACCACATTCCAACAATATACAGGCATTCCCTTTTTCCTTAATCCTTGTTAACAATGAAATTGTGGTATTGGGAGTGTCATGAGGGAGATGACACAACTCAGATGTCAAAAGGCATGGCAAAATTTACTTCTTCTGTTCACAGACAGAGTCCTGTTAGTAAGCACATGGGTGGGAGGTCCACTCAGATTTGATCTCTAACAAAAGTCTGTCCTTCACCCTGATTGAAAGGGTTTTGGGTTCACAATCTTCACAATCAGCTAATTTGAAAGGGGGACACATGGGACAAGTGACCTTGTGGTAGAGAGGGCAAAGATTTACTTGAACAACAGTTGCCTTAAGCAAGCTGTTTTTGAAACAAGCATATCTGGAGATAATAGGAACTTGTTCAGCTATGAAGAACAGCCCTTTGTTTAAAACAGGAATTTACAGTTTGAAGTGATATCTCACAAGGCTCACAGCCAACAATTTGGAGCAACAATTGACATCTGCACAATGATAATATACTATATATGAACCCCTTTGACAGAAAAGACCTGACTTTTGTTGATTCTTACATCTTCCCTATCATTTGACTTTTTTGTCAGTACTGGAGTTTGAACTCAGGGCTTCACACTCACTAGGCAGGTGCTCTATTGCTTGAGCCATTCCTCCAGTCCTCTTTTGATTTTTTTCTTTATTTTCTCACTTTTACATTTACTTACATGTGTATACATTGTTTGTGCCACCTCCTCCTCCTCCCCTACCCCTTTTGACTTTTTGATAACAGCCATTCCGGTATGGGAATATCCCATAGTACTTTTGATTTGCATTTCTTGATGACTGAATGATCATAGACCCGTTGGTGAGCTTTGTCTCTTCTTGGAGAAATGTCTCTTCAGGTGTTTGTCCATTTCTAGAAAATTATTTGTTTTGCCACTATTGAGTGCATGAGCTTTTCATGAATTTGGGGATGTCACTTCTTGTCAGATAGATCTGTAGTTTGCAAATTTTTCCCAAATGGCAAGCAGCTGTCTCCTTGTGTTGTTTCCTTTGCTGAACAGAGCTGTTAAGTTTGACGACCTCCCATTTACTTATTTTTGCTTTGTATGCTGACTTTTGATGTGATATCCAAAAAAACAGTCAAGGCCAATGTCTAGGACCTTCCCCTAAGTTCCCTTCTGGGAGTTTTAAAGTTCCTGGTTATATATCCATTTTTAGTCTATTTTTGTGATGGCATGAAATCAAACTTCCTTCTTGTGCAAGCAACTATCCAATTTTGCCAGAACAAATTACTGAAACTATTATTCTTTCCCCATTTGTCCTCTTGGTGCCCTCATCAACAGTTAGCTGGCCATAAACATGTAGATTTTTTTCTATTTTTGTTCCATTTGTCTCCTGCCTGTTTTACTGCCGGTATCCTGCAGGGTTTTTTTTTTTTTTTTTTTTTTTTTTTTTTTTTGAGGTTGTGTCTTGCTAGGAACACAGACTGGCCTCAAACTAGTGATCATCCCTGCCTCTGCCTCCTGAGAACCAGGAGGATTACAGGTGTGAACCACCACACACAGCTACCATGCAGGTTACTGTATGATAACTATAGCTTTGTAAATATAAGTTTAGTTTTGTAATATAATTTTAATGAGCATGTATGATGCCTGCAACATTTTCTTCATCAGAATTGTTCTAGCTATTCAGTCTTTTATGGTTTTATAAAATCTTTGGAATCATCATTTCTATTTCTGTGAGAAGTGACATTGCAATTTTGGTAGTGATTGCACGAATCTGTGTGGGTTTTTTTGGGAGTATGAATTTTTTTTTTTGATGCATGAGGGTTTGAACTCAGGGTCCCACAATTGTTAGGAAAGCATTCTATCACCTGAGTGACTCCACCGGACCTTTTTTTGTGTTTGGTGTTTTTGAGATAGGGTCTCTTGATCTATTTGCCCATGACAGCCTCAAACCATGGTTCTCTGATCTGTGTCTCACACTTGGCATGAGCCACCATAGTTCACTAGTATGGACATTTTAACAATATTAATTATTCAGATCATGAGCATGAGCTCAAGAAATAGTTCTATTTATTTTTTCAATTTAATTTCATCAAGGTTACCCTTTTCAGTGCAGAGAACTTTCACTTTTTGGTTATATTCCTAGGTTTGTGGGATTTTTGATGCCATCACAAATAAGGATCATTCTCTTTTTCACTAGACCATTATTTCTGTATTAAAATGGTACTGATTTCTTTTGGCTGGGGATGTAGCTCAGTGGAAGACCATGTGCGAGCATGTGAGAGGCCCTCGCACCACAAGGAAAAGTAGTTATGGATATATAAGACTTCCTAGTCCTGGCTGGGTGTATGGTGCATGCCTATAATCCCAGCCACATGGGATGTAGTAGTACAGGGTCATTGTCTGGGCCAACCTCAGACTATGAGGACCCTACCTGAAAATAAACTAAAAGCAAAAGGGGACAGAGGTATGGCTCAAATGATAGAGCACTTGCCTAGTAAGTGCAATGGCCTGAGTTCAAACAGCCAGTACTGTCAAAACAAAAAGATTACCTATTACCCTTTGTGTGGGAAATCCCTTCCAGACTCCCAGGTCCACTGTTTGTTGTGTCAACTCCCCAGAGGCAGGTGAGTGACAAGCCTGACTATCAAGCACAGCTTGAAGAGTGATGGCAAACCCCACCGAGTGAAAGAGGACTGTGGTTGGTCCCTTCTGTGCATGCTGGGTGGATGTGGCCCTGGAAACCTTGATACCTGATTTTGTATCCTGCAACTTTACTGTATTCATTTATTACTCTAGCAGCTTTTTTATGGACACTTTGAGGTTTTCACATACAGGATCATGTCATCTGCAAGTAAAGAGAGGTTTCTTATTCCTTTTTCTTGGATGCATTTTATTTCTTTTTCGTGTCTAATTGCTGTTCCTGGTATCTTTTGTGATACTGTGATGTAGGGAGACCCACATGCACCAGCCCCTTCCACCCTGCCTAATATTTCAGTTCAGTCTTTGGAAACTGGTAAGATTTTGGCTGAGAGCAATCTGACATGTGATAAGTCCTACATAATGATGTCCTTGCTATGTTCAGACAGTTTAGTGAGCTGTCACTCACTCCTTGTGTTACAGAAAGATTTTTTCCTCCTTTTTTACTTGATTCTCTCATGGAACTTCCACAGCCATCTTGGTGATGGACTCTTACTTTATTACCCTCTAAAAGCAAAAACAAAACCCTGTAAAGTTTGGTAGAGCTTTAATTTTAATGACCTGTATGGCAGGGGTGAGGAGGAAGCCTTCGGTTAGAGGTTCTAGGAATCCCATGGCGTCCAGAGCGAGGGTGTCTCACAGAGGGGAGACTGGTCACTTTATCTAGACGACATCCACAGAGGTCAGGCAGATGTCTCTCCACACCTGAACCATCTGCACAGAGCTTGGCTGGATTCGATGGGCAAAGCTGTAATACTGTTCTCCGTTTACTATTACCTATAAGAAGGAAAATGGGCCAGAATTAGTTTTGGAAGTTACATTCTTTTTTTAAATTGCCTATATATTTTATTTTTATTTATTAGTTTTTGAGACAAGGTCTCACTATAGGCTATAGCCCAGCCTGAACTCCAATTCTCAATTCTGCTGCCTCAACTTCCAGAGTGCTGGGATTACAGACATAAGCCACCACATCTGACTCTATGTTTTTATTTTTAAATGACAAGTAGTGACTAGACATGTTTACTGGCTACAGGGTGACATTACAATACATGTATCAAATGTGTAATGAGCAGGTAGGGTAATCGGTACATTCATCACCTCCAACATTTTCATTCCTTTGTGTTGGGCACGTTCAAAATTCTCATTCCTGTTTTGAAATGTACAATCCGTGGTTGCCAGCCGCAGTCGTCAAACCATGCCATAACAGTAGAAGTCATTCCTCCTATCTAATTGTGCTTTGTTACCATCCTCTTTTCATCCTTCCCAGGCTCTGGAAACCACTATTTAACCTTTACTTCTTTCATTAAGATTTATTGTTCATTTATTCATTCATGTATTTTGGCAAAACTGGAGTTTGAACCAGGGCCTGCACCTCAAGTCCTCCATCAGCCATTTTGTATGTGTGTGTGTATGTGTGTGTGGTGTTCGTGTGTGTGTGTGAGTGTGTGTGAGATGGGTTTTTTTGAGAAAGGATCTCAAGAACTATTTGACCACAGTGGGCTTCCAACTGTGTTTATCCAGACCAGCTAGGATTGCAGATGTGAGCCACCGGAGCTGGCAAGATTTATTCTTTAAAAATTTAAATCTCTAGTTTAATGTATAGAGAAATTGATACTATCCTTCATTTTAAAAATGATAACAGGCCAGGTGCTGGTGGCTCATGCCTGTAATCCTAATACTCAGGAAGCAAGGATCAGGAGGATTGCGGTTCCAAGCCATCTTGGGCAAAAGTTTCGTGAGACCTTTATCTCGAAAATTCCTTCACAAAAAGTAGGGTTGCTGGAGTGGCTCGAGGTGAGGGCCCTGAGTTGAAGTCCCAGTACCACAAAAAAAAAAAAGAAAAGAAAACAGACTAGAGCTGTGGCTTAAGTGGTAGAGTACCTGCTTTGCAAGCATGAAGCCCTGAGATCAAAGCCCAGTCCCACAAGAAAGTTCAAAAAAAGGAAAAATATAAATATATAATATATATACTTAAACACAAAGTGCTTGTGTGAACATAGATTGTCTCTAGAAAGAAGTAAAGAACTAATAAGAGTTGTTATTGGGAAGGGGATTGGTGTTCAGGGATGAGAGGAAGCTTCAATTTTGGGTTGATTAAAATAATTTCATTCAAATGCATTTTTAATTATTTAGATACTTGGATATTCATTTAACAGTATAAGAAGAAAGAAAAGCTGTGGGTGAAGATAGAAGACATTTTCCACTTGGGGCAAGTTGCATGTGACCTGACCTTGACATTGACCCTTGTCATATTTAGGGAAAGAACTGAGGATGGCAATGAGCAGAGGGTTCCTGGGAGCTAAAAGCCAGTACTTATGGGAGATGGATCCCACAAGACTTTTGGGGCCAAGCCATGTGAGCTGTGTCTTCCTTTAAGATCCCATGGATGCAGAGTAGGGGTCATTCCCGGGGTCACTCACCTGGTACTCATTGCGGAGCACCAAGATGCGCAGGTCAAATGGTTTGCCATCCTCAAGGGCATCGTGGAAGATTTCACCTCATTGCCCACTTTCCACTCTGACGAGTGTTCATGACCACAGAATACCCAAAGTAGACTCGGAAATGGAAGGCGATGTCAGACTTCTCACTGGGTTCAGTATGGAAATCCACTTGCAGTTGAGGGTCTTTCCTGAAGGGCAAATCAAATGATGTGTTGCATGGACCCTTTCTTGTGGTGACACACAGATTAGATACACAAACAAGTCCTTTTCCACTTACTTTCCACAGTGAAAGGAAGGTCTTCCTAAGTGATACTGTAGTTTTTATCCCCATGGGGCTGGCCAGTGAGTCCTCTGTCTCTTACTTAACCCAAGACTAAAACTGAGCAGCACTGACATTGGTGGTCCACCCCCTGAAAAGTCCACACCTCTTGATAAAGAGCCAGAGTCCCAACCATGAGCTTATCTCTTCCCCCATCCCTCAGATCTACCAGAGCCTATATTAATGCCTGGTGGGGTCTAAGACAGGCACTATCCTGCAGATTAAACATTCCAATGTCACTGAGACACAGGTTGCCCCCAAAAGCTTACTTCACCCCACCCATGTATAAAGAGAACTCACACGAAAGCGATAGTAGGTGTCCCTGATCGTCACTGAAGAACCAATGGTCAAGGCCACAGTCCTTGTGTATGGGACCTGCCATGGGATAGAGAGTAGATAAGAGGGGCCAACCAGATTATGGTTTTCTTCCTCTGACAGTTTCCAATGGTGTGGCAGGTTAGAGATTGAAGGATAGGCTCCAAAGACCCTGCTCTCCCACCCCATCACAGCCAGGTCTCTGTATACTTAACAAGATAGAAAGGTTGTAGAACAGTCAGGCTAACTGGATTAAAATCCTGATTCTGACCCTTAATAGCAGTGGGATTAGAGATACCTTACCTAAGCACTGCCTAACTCAGTTTACAGGACGATCACCAGAAATGCCAACCTCGTACAGTGTTCTCAGGAAAGAGAAGAGGTAACATGTATAAAACCTTAACCCTAATCTCTGGTATTTAGATGGTCTATACAGGGTTAGCTATCAAGAGAGGGTCCTTTCTGCAATACCATTGCTAGGAGACCTGAGGCAGGGGATCCAATAGCCTGAGGTCACTGTACACAGACCCAGCCTTAAGATCCAGCACCCCGCTGTGTGAGCTCATTCTCCCACTGTTCTCAAGAGGAGACATATGAGGCCACATCCATTCTGCTCTTGTGAGCACTCAGAGATGTGTCCGCAGGTAAGTCTCAGTCCCTAAGATGCCCGCCCTCTGCTCAATACCTGGTTATAGAACCATCTCTGTGTGTTTTTGTGTGTGTGTTTGTGTCTCTGTCTCTCTGTCTCTCTTTTTTTCTCTCTGTCGTTCTGTTCCTCTCTCCCCTGCCCCCACACACACAGTGCAGCTCACACACACCTCAGTGGCACACTCCTGCTCACTTCAATATGCATTGTGGTTTAGCCATGGCCCAAGTTTAATGCAGTTCTTCTTCAACTCACCTCTTCTGCCATCTCTGTGTCCCTCTGGTGGCTCTTTGACACTGGGTCTAGTCTTCTGTAGAACTTTCCAGGAGCTGCAGCATATAAAGGATCTCTGGCATTCCCCACCTCTGGCTTTTCACCTGTTTCCAAACCCCTCACAACAGATTGAGAAAGAATGGGGTGTCAGAATTAGACTGTCATAACCTGCCTGGTGTGCTGACTCGAGGTGTGGTGCTCAGATAACACACTCGAGTTGTTGTTATCAGGGAAGGAGAAGGAAGTGCTCAAGCAAGAGGGAAGCAGTGAGGGGGTGAGTGGGTCTAAAATCAACCATGAGATGACTGCTCCTGCTTAGGGGGCCAGCCCCAGTTCCCATCACCTGGAAATTGCTCTATTTAGGGGATCAGTTTCCTCATGGGGCGATCCACCTGCCAGGCTCTGCTGTCCCTTAAATCCAAGGTGATTATAGGTGCAAGACAATGACTGAAGACTTCCAGGCATTGTCATAAAAGCTAGTAGTTGACAATCTGATTATGGTGTGATTGCCAATCTTGAAAATATCTAACTTACTTTTGGTACCTTCATCCTTTTTTCTTCCATTTTTATCAGCATATATTAGTTGTACAAAAGGGTTTCATTGTGATGTTTCCATAAATGCACACAATGTAACCTGATCAAATTCAACCTTCTGTTATTCCTTCCCCTCATCACCCTTCCCTTTTTTGTGGTACTGGGGTTTGAACTCAGGGTCTTAAACTTGCTAGGCAGGCGCTCTACCTTGAGTCACTCCACCAGCCTGTTTGTGTTGGGTATTTTTGAGATAGGGTCTCATGGACTATTTGTCTAGACTGACTTGGAACCATGATCCTCCTGATCTCTGCCTCCTGAGTAGCTAGGATTACAGTTGTGAGCAACTGGAGCCTGGGCCTCCTTCCCTTCTTAAAATAATTTCAAAAGGTTTCATTGTTCTATTTCATACCTGAATATAAAGTGCTTTGACCATATCTACCCTCTCCTTTCGTCCTTCCCTCCTCCTTTTACCTTCTCCCAGACACAACCTTTCCTTACTCCTGCCTTCATCCTTGAAGATAACACCACTGAAATGACTAACTTGCCTCTGTGCAGAGTTAAGCAGGAATCTGACCCAAAGTTTTCAGGTCAAAAGGAGACAGGTACAAAAGGAAGGCAGATGGCAAGTTTTAACTTGCTTTTAACTGCCTATTGTGCATCTGCAGGAACAAGTGAAGTAGTACTTTCACAATAGCAGCTGCTAAATCCTGTTACACTAAAATAAAAAAGCAGCTACTCACCATGATAGAAGATTTCAAACATGGTCAGGACTATCTTCATGCAACTGCCTATAATACTTTTTCTCATATGTTATGATGTTATGGGGTTTGTTTGTGGGGTTTTTCTTTTCTTTTTCTTTTTTGCAGTGCTGGGATTTGAACTTAGGGCTTTCACCTTAAATCATTCCACCAGCCCTTTTTTGTGAAGGGTTTTTTTCGAGATAGGGTCTTGCAAACTATTTTCTCCGGGCTAGCTTCAAACAGTGATCTTCCTGATCTCCTCCTGAGTAGCTAGGACTAGCAGGCATGAGCCACCAATGTCCGGCTAGTTACTATCTTTTTAAGTTTTCTCCCAACATTTAAAATTATCAGCACTGTTTTGTCATCGTTGTTGGTTTGTTTGTTTTGCAATTTATGTGCATATGGGAAGTGTGCTTGGTCAGGCAGAGGTCACTCCACCAGGATGGTGAAGCTGTCCTCACATCCCTCAACCTATTTGGCAGGATTGGCAATGACTTACTGATGTGGGGACACAAAGGACCATCTTTCCCCAAGGCAGGACTAGCTCTGTGTGCTGTTCCATCCCCTGTGCTTCTTACTGGGGTCAGACTGAAGCTTATGTAGCTTTGAGTTCAGTTCTCCCCCTCTTCCCTCTCCCTGCTCCTCATTTCCTTCTCCTGGCAGCTCTCCTTGAGTAAATCAATTGTTAGGACTGTATGAAACTAAAGAGCTTCTGCCCATCAAAGGAAACAGTCACCATACTCAAGAGACAGCCCACAGAATCAGAGAAATTCTTTGCCAGCTACTCATCCAATAAGGTTCTAATGTCCAGAATCTACAGGGAACTCAAAAAAACTCAGCCCCCAAAAAAAACACCCCAATGGAGAAATGGGCACATGACTTAAACAGGGAATTCTTAAAGGAAGAGGTACAGATGGCCAGTAAATACATGAAGAAGTGTTCTTCCTTGGTTATAAAAGAGACACAAATCAAAACAACACCTAGATTTCATCTCACCATTTAGAATGGCCTTAATCAAGGGTAATCACAACAATCAATGCTGGTGAGGATGTGGCAAAACAAGAACACTTATACACTGTTGGTGGGAATGCAATCAGTACAATCACTGTGGAAAGCAGTATGGAGATTCCTCAAAAATTAAAGATAGAACTTCCATATGACCCAGTGATACTACTCCTGGGCATCTACCAAAAAGAACGTAGAAGCTGGAAACAACCCAGGTGTCCTACAACTGATGAATGGATCAAGAAAATATGGTATATATACAATGGGGTATTACACAGCCATAAGGAAAATGATCTGTGGTTTGAAGGTAAATGGATACAATTGGAGGACGACATCATGTTAAGTGAAGTAAGCCAGGCTCAGAAAGACAAAAGCTGCATGTTTCCTCTCATACATGGAACACAGATACAAAGATAAACATATACACAAAGGCAGCATGATCAAATACAAACTCATAGTAGAACATGTTTGTAACAGTGGAACTGCTCTATGAAACTTGGGGAAAAAGGGAAAGGGAAAGAAGATGACAGAGCATCAGTAATATCACATCACATAAGATGTAAAGGTAGAGGATAAAAGGATGTGTATTGAAACTTTCGAAAAAAATGGGGATAGGAGGTAAAGGGGTAAGGCAGAGCAATGGAAGGGTTGACTGGACCAAAGTGAAGTATACACGCTGTGGGAAGACATTGAGAACACCACTTTAAATATCAAATATTAATAATGAAAGAAGGAGTGTAAAATAGGTACAGGTGTGGTGAGGTTACTAGTGGCAGGGAGGGTAAGTAAGGAGATTAAGGTGATGGTATATGGTAGATGGACTTCACATACCTAATTGAAACAGAACTAAGAACCTAAGAGGAGGCTGGGGGAGGGATGATGGAGGCAATGTAAATAATGTACAATATAAGTCTAATCAGAATGGTCACTATAAATCCTCCCTGTATAATGAATATATCCTAATAAAATTTTAAAAAAATAGATAAACAAAAAAAGGAAACAAAATGGCACAAGTTCTATATGTACAAAATATAAATCACTTATGAAAAGATAAATGTTTAGCAAAGAATGCATAAGATCTGCTGAGAGGCCCTATATATATTGGTTTATCTTATTTATAAAAAAAGTAATCAATTGAACAAGAATCAGTATCTCAGGCCATGCTTCTCAGGAATCTGTTCTATGATACCATCATTTGGAAAGAACTGATATTACATCTTAGCCTTTGTATTATTTCAGGCTACTGCCTTGTGAAAACTTTCCAGTCTCTTGCCAGGCATTGATTGTTTATTTCAAGGCTCAATCCTGTTCTATTTGCCTACACAATTCCACACAGGAAGGCTCACAGGAAGAAACTCTTAGTAGACATTTGCTATTACTATTAAACATAAAATATTAGAACACAGTTTTGACCTAGTTCCTACACTAGACCCCAGAAGAACAGATCAAACCAAAATGGAGTCACTTGCGCCAACTACCATAGACAAGTCTAAACTTTAGTGAAGGAAACAGATCTCCAATAGGCCATTTTCCCTGAAAACAGGACATCCCACTCACCCTGAGTCAGTGATATGAAGGGTCCTTCCCTTCAGAACTTACACGGTAACCTGGGGTAACTGTTAACCAATCAACTTCTCCCACTGGTCTCTTTCCTTGTTGCTCCCTTGTAGCTTTTACAATCAGGCCTGGTGAGCTCTCATCCTACTTTGTAGCACGGAAGCTGCCCTATCCATGAATTGCAGTAGAGCCAATCAGATTTCAGGTGAAATGTGTTATAATTTTCTTCTTTTGACTTTAGTGTGCTATAAATGGATAACTCACACTGATTTTCACTACATACAATTCCTTGTAATACTTTCTCTTACAGTACATTCATAAGAGTGGAAAATTAAGAATTTTCATTAATTAATTAAGAATT